AAAATTTTTTGTTATCTCGCTTATTCAAAATTTTTGTTATCTCACTTATTCAAAAATTTTTGACTTATTTCATTTACTCAATTATTATAAGTTCTACACATCCTTAATAATGTACTATTTATTTAAGCAAATAAGTTATTTGTAAATTGACTTAGATTTCATTTTAAATATTTTATTTATGACTTTTATTCATTTTTTATTATATTATTTGTCAGAATTCTAAATATATATAAAAAAAAAACTTTGCAGTTTTGATTGTTGTGTGTTTATTGAAACATGTATTAAATTTTTTCAAAAAATCTTACTGGATAAATTTGTCCTTTAAATACCTTGGAAAATTATATATATATAATTCTAAAATATATAAATAATTTGAAAATATTTATTTTGAAGTGGATTAACTAATCCACAACCCAATTTATCATTGCATTCATTGCAGACATGAGATTTTTTTAATTTGTTATATTAAATAATGGATCTGCAGATATTTCTCTCATGAATTTATGCCCAACTTCAGAGTAGAGAGCAACAGAAACAGTACTATCACCTACAAAACGCATACTTCCTAACAAAAAATGATATATTAACTAATTTTTGACTTCAATACAACCATATTACAGTTATATATAAATACCTAAATAAATATAATTACCTATTGCTAGGATTTTTACTGATGTTTTAAACTTTACAGCACAACTTGTTAGGAAGTAAGGAAGAATGTAGATTTAAAACTGTGGTAGATTTTGTACAAAGTTGTATCATACTTTTACATCTGAAGGCTTATAACTATTATCCACAATAAATTCAGAAAGATTATTCTTTTGCTTCTCTTGTCTTTTGCAAGACAGTAAATAGGACATGGAATAAACGAATATTGTGTAATTTTTATAGAACCTAATCAACCTTCTTTCGATTTTAAAGGAATGAAGTACTTTCTATTTGAAAACAGTTATTTATGTTTAATACAGTATTTATATATAAATGTGGTAAAAACATTACCTTTTCCTTTTTTTTAAAAAAAATTTTTTTTTTTTACAAGTTAAACAAACTTCAGATGGTGCAGCTTAAAAAGTTATAACACACTCTCTCCATTTAATTTAAACACTCTGTAGAAGTGAGCCCAAATAATACAAAAAAAAAAAAAAAAAAAAAAAAAAAAAAAAATACAATACAAAAAGAATACAATAAGTAAATTGACAATTTTTTTATATATACAACTAATTACTTTTTTTTTTTAATAAATAAAAATAAAGCAGAATGGACTTACAAATCCTGTACAGTAAAAACAGTAGTGTGGGGAATAAAAACCATGTTCTTGAAAATCATGCACAAACTCTTTTGTCATTTGTTGAGAATTGACATTCATAAAGTAATTTAGCATCTCCTGGCGACTGATATTACCATCACTTAAAAAATGTAAATGTGTTTGTAAATGTATGTATGCATATATATATATATATATATATATATATATATATATATATATATATATATATATATATATATATATATATATATATATATATATATATATATATATATATACATATATGTATATATATATATATATATATACACACAATGTATTGCAGATTAAAGACACTATGAAAATCCATTCAAACTATACATGTAGAGCAAAAAAAGTAAATAAATATATATAATAAGCCCGACATAATACAACAAAAGATAACACACTAGAATTTATCTAAAAAAATATATACCAGTCAACATCCAACACTGCAAATTTGTCAAGAAAAGGAAAGTTTGTGGCTAAAGCATCAAACTCCTCTTCATTTATAAAACCATTTTTATCCACATCATATGTATTGAAAACAGCCTAGATTAAAATTGAACATCCTGCTATTTTAATGTGTTTTTTTTTTAGCTTTTCTGCATATAAAACATTTAATAAAATTTTAATTTATATAATATAATATAAGTTAATAAAATTTATTAAAATATTTCCAGTATCTCTTAAAATTCCAAATATCAAAGGATTTAAGGAAAAAATGTAAACAATATATCCAAGTATTTGTAATTTTAGAGAAAAAGAGGTAAATAAAAAAGGCACAGGGATAACATTTATTTATAAAATAATTGATATAATACAACTTTTATTAATGCTGGAATAAACTTTTTTTTTTTACATAAATTAAAGTTAAATAAAATGCATGTTTAAAATTTTGTTAATCAAATAAAATCTTATAAGTTATCTTTTTAAAGATAAATTTGAAGTCAAGATTCACTAATCTACTTACATTGACCATAGCTCTCACATGCTTTTCAACTGTATCTCTATTAGGTGGCTCGTCTATAGAACCTTTAGCCCAATCAGAAAACAAAAGTGAAGATGATGAAGAAGGACTTTTTGATACACTCTAATAAAACAACATAATGGGAAAAAGAATTAAGAAGAAAAAAATAATTTGATAATAATAATAATAATAATAATAATATATATATATATATATATATATATATATATATATATATATATGTATAATTATATAACAATTTATATTATTATATTTATATATAACAAATGTATATTAGTCTAAAACAAATTTATTTATAAATATAAATATTTTTTCTCCTTTTATGAATATTTTACTTAAATTTATTAGTATTATTTTCTCTATACTTAAATTTACTGTTTTAATTATTACATGATAAAAAAGTTGAAAACCCTAAATGCATCTCCTATATTTTTCATTATAACTTTTTTTATAAATTTCAAATAATTTCTACCACGAACGGTTTTTTTTTTGTTAATCGCATAATTATGATTTAGTTGTCATGTTAAAAATATAATATTCGATGAAGAAATTTCCAATTAATTTAAGATTAAAAATAACTATTGTTTAGAGATAAAACCATATACAATATATAATTTAAACGACTGTAATGGCGTTGTAAAATTAAATTAAATTTATTTAAAAAATTTTGTTTTTAATTTTTATACAATTATTATTCGTTTTATGTACTAATTGTATATTATTGCGCACAGCAACACAGCGAAGATAAACTATCAAACTTTAATTTTCAGAATTTTTTTTTTAAACTTTTCTGATAGTTTTTCTTTTTATTTAATTGGATAAATGACATCCAAAAGTTTTTAAAATGAATATTCGAAACCAAAGTTGATTGAAATTGTTGTTAACTTAAGCGTAAAACCTAAATACGTTTTCATACTTAATTTCAAAAATTTAAAGTTTAAATTTAAAATAACAACATTAATAAAAACTTGTGAATAGATTTAAATTATTTAAAAGAAAAATATATTTTGTAAAAAACAATAAAACTTGATAATAAAAAATTTTCATCAACTTTTATTAACATAAATATTAAAGCAGACAATGAGTGAAATTACAGCTTTATTCTCTCTAGGTTCTCTCTGTATAGACATGTCATAAAGATCATCTTCTGTGTATCGAGATCTCAATGAAACCTAAAAATTAATAAAATTCAATAATTTATTTTTTAAAACAAAACTCTAAAATCAATAAATTAATCGCATTAAATTCCAGCAACGAAACTTAGATTCCATAAAAAAAAAAAATTAAAAAAAAAAAACTGTTCATGTAGGTGGAATGCAACGACGGTTTAAAAAAATTTTGTCAATTAAAACAACAACAATTAAAAAAACACGTAAATTTAAATTTAAAATTTTAACATAATAATTCTTTACTCGTTGGTATTACCTATAAAAATAAAAAAAATCATTTTATAACTATACCACAAACGTTTTTTTAATTTTTTTTTTTTTTTAAACTTTTTTTAAAAAAACGCATTACCACAAAAGAAGTTTTTCAGTTTATTTAAGTAATAGTTTCGCGTCAATATATAAATCAGTTTAATGAAAAACACGTTAACTAAAACTACGCTGTAGATATTTGTAAGCCAAACTATTTGTTTTAAACGCCACAACGAAAGAAATCGTTATAATGGCTAAATATAAACTGTGTAATAATAAACAATAAAATAATGCAATAAACAAAAGAAAACAAAAAGACTTTTACTCTATTTTTAGTTTAAACTTTTTGAAGACTTTTAAAAATCAAATCTTATAAATTGCATCTTTGTTGCACTTTTTTTTTTTTTAACAAAAAAAAAAAAAAAAAAAAAAAAAAACTGGAATGTAAAACATCAGTTATTTTTCGAAAAAACATCCAACCGCCAGATTTTTATTGCCAAAAACGTGTCGAATTGTGTATGACTAATTTCCCGAGGTAGTGTATAACTAAAAAAAAATTGGATTTCATTCAGATATAAACTGTCTCGTCTCGCTTAACGCAAGTCCTCAAAATTGATAAAAAATATTTCGTTTACGCTCGGAATGCGTTCGCTATGCAATATTATTTGTTTAAAATACTCAACACTTTAAAGTCCGCAAGTAGTCCGCATGAATCTCAAATATAAAACATAAAAACAGACTAACAAAAAAAGACTTACAGAATCATTAAGCTTGTTGTTAGTTTCGTTCTTGCAACTTTTCAGTTTTCTCGAACTTGAGGCATTTTAAACTTTTTAAGATTCAAATTTTAAATTAAAATTGTATTTCGTAAAAAGATAAATAAAAAACTTTTAAAAAATTTTGTTTTCTTTAGCTTACAAATAACCCACAAATATCTTATAGTTCTTAACAATATTTAATTTCTAAACATTTCTTACAAGTAAACGAAAGAATAAAAATCGTTTGTAAGTAAGAATGTATTTTTATTTAAATGTATAAGATGCTAAATAATTAGAAATCTATTAAGTTGATAAAAAATCAAAAATAGTCAACTTATAAAATAAGCATCCATCAAGTTGAGAATAGAAAATATACAAGAAAGAGAATGTTCTTGTGCCAAAAAGGTTTTTATATATCCAACTTGCACATTTTTCAAGTGTGATAATATTTTATCTAGCAAAGTTAATAACATTTTCAACAGAATTAAACTTTCAACAAATATTTAAAAAAAAAAAGATTTATTAAAGTAATAAATAACAAAATACAGCATTTTAGAAGAGAAAGAATATACGTTTTTTTAATTATTATTAAAAAAACAAGCAAATAGGCTATAAAATTTTTTATTTTAGGTATTTTATTTTTCTAATCTAGTAAAAAAAAGCTTCTTAAAAGTTTCTTAAGTTTCAATTAGTTTATATTAGTTTATGTTTTATAACGTACGTATTTCATTTACAAACAAATGAAATTCCATTCGATTGCGCGCGCAAACTAAATGCTTATTTAAACTGTTGTGCTCTGTTGCGCTTTTTTAACTTCGCGTTATGTTGATGTAGTATTTAGGTGAATAATTAAGAAATACTCCTCGAACTCCTAATAAAACGAGTTTCTTATTGAAAAGTTACCTAGAATTAAAAGCTTCTTGAGATTTCACTAAACAATATAAACTAAAATAGTTATTGGAACTCGATTCATTAGCGTTCCTTGTGGTCCACTACAAGCTTTTATTATCACATAGCCTGTTTTTCAAAGTATAAACAAAATTTTCGGTAATTTCTTGTGTGATTAACTTGTGTGAAGACTCTTTCCTAATTACTAGAAGTTGTTGCCACTTACACAGTGGGTCATAATTCTTCTACACAGATTATACCCAATTCATCACACTGAAGTTCAATGGGATTTAGTTCTGGAAATTTAGTAATTATAAAGTTGGTTAGCTATTTTAAATATTAGCCATTCTATGACACGTTTGGATATTTATATTGAACTTTATGTTGTATTTTGGATAATTACTTTGCTGAAAAATAAATGACCTAGTAAGTCTTGATTTTTTAGACATTTTTTTCTGGATTTTTTTCTCAATGAAAACTATGTTTCCTACAGTACTCATACAACCACACACTAAAACACTTTCCTTACCGTGCTGATCTAGAAATATTTATGGTTTATTAATGTGAAGCTTTGCAAAGTGCAGGCAATTGGTTTTATTGACTTTGCTTGACGTAGGGTTTTTCAGTAGTATTACACCATTTTATCCTTCTTAAGGTCATTTATAAAGTTTCAGGATTTAATTTAATCAATTTGAAGCATTCCAGAATTTTAGAACTCATTTTAGAATTCTGTCTAATTATATTACTAATTATACTACTAATTAGTAGAATAGAAGATGTACTAATTCAATTTTCTTCGGACGTACTGACCGTCGCTAATTACCAATTTTATAGTAGTTTTATATTTCTTATTAATGGACTACTCGGTTGCACGTGATTTTTTTTTTACTATTTTTCCACTGTGAATATAATGTATTAAATAAAAATATAGTTTTTCAAACATTAAAATATATACTTTAATTTACTTGCAACTAAAATATTTCGTTTTTTATATAAAAAAGTAAAAATAAATTTTTTTGTTTTGTTTGACAACTTGGGCAAAGCCATCAAAAATAAATTTCTTTTGTGTATAAAGCAAAAGGTCTCAGTGGGCACAGGACGTAACCTTTACGTCGTTTTGAAGGTAATGACGTTTTACGTCGTAACAACGCTGAATTAAAAAGTCCTTCTGCGAAAATTTTGACGCATCTTATTTATATCGTCAAAGTTTACGGGGATTCTCAACTCTATAAATTTACTGCAAAAAAAAACGTTAAAGAAAAATTATACATTAATGTTATGTTATTAAACTCCTCGGGTTAGAATTTCAAAAAATTAAAAATAGTTTCCAAATGAAAAGCTCCTTTAGCTTTTCTCGTTATCAAAATAATATGAATACTTTAAATATTATAGCTTAAGTATTACATCTTTAGTATAAGTATTACTTATAAATACTTCAGCATAAGTATTACATTACAGGCCCGTAGCAACGAAGGAGGGGGGAGGGGGTGGGCAGCAGGGACATTTGAACCCCAATAATTTTTCAAATAAATAATTTTAAATTGACTGAAAAAAAAAAGATCCTTAAAACTATTTCGGGGTAGTACTGCCCCCCGATATAATTTTTACCCTATATATATATTTACCCGATATAATTATATTTTAGATTAAAAAAAAAAGATCCTTAAAACTATTTCGGGGTAGTACCCCCCCCCCCCGATATAATTTTTGTTCCTACGGGTCTGCATTATATCGTTATAAAAATAATATAACAATTTATAACAAAAAATATCTGTAAATATAATAGCATAAGTATTAGAATTTTATGTAAGAATAAGCAATCTTTTTGAAAAGTATTCACATGTAGATTAGACAATGAAATTAAATAATAAAATTTTATAAATAATTAGAAACTAAAAAGTTGCTTAAATATTTAATAAATTAGTATGAAAAAAAAAAAAAAAAAAAAAAAAAATTTAATAAAATTTTACAAAATTGAGTTTTTATTAAATAGACACAAAACTAAGTGGTTAACCTGCTTTATAGTTGTTACATTTTGCACTATACATGCATAATTTTTACAACTTACCAGTAAAAAACAAACAAATCCAATAAATATTACTTGACAATCTTGCATTTATCACATTTTGGACATTATTTGACCAATTGCAGTTTTCTTATGCAACTTTTTTTGACTAATTGCAGTTTTTTTATGCAACCTAATTCAATACAGATTTGTCAAATTTTTTTAATGATATTTGTTGTATATTTTGAGAATTTGCTATTTTAGACATATCCTCTAAGCCATTTTGCTTCATCATCTTCAATAATTCAGAAATTTTCAGAAATATAATTGTCATACAACTTTCTTCAGCGGGTTCTTAAACTTTTTTTTTGAATTTCACTTAGACACTTTTTGTGATTTAAAAGCTTGAAGAGTATGTTTATTTTGAACTTTTATAACAAGTCTATGAGAAAGTCCTTATCTTATCGCACGTTCCCTTAGCGATAAGCTTGGGTTATTCATTCATTCAAAGCTGTTAACCAGTTTTCTAACTAGTTTTACATCTTGAAAAACCTCCTTACCTCCATTACCAGATTTGCGTTTGATCAATTTTATATTTGGAAAAAACATTAAGTAACTTGACTAATGGGGTAGGATGTATTTGCAGCTTTTTTACTATAAAATTTTAGCCTCTATTCGAATTTTCTAAATATTTGTGCAAAGTATTTTTTCTAACACCTTCTTTTGTCATTTTTAAAACTTATTTTAAGATAAATGGGAAAACTAAAAAATTTTTTCAGAAACTGTTACATGTTGCCAATAAAATACAAACACAATTAAAAATATATTTTTGTAACCACTGAAAAAAAATGACGTGTTTACTCATTCACATTTATTTCGTGTACATGCTATACATATTTTAAAACAAGAACAAAGATTGTTTATTGACAAAATTTATTGTTTATTGACATATTTTAAAACAAGAACAGTGATTATTGTTTCTTGAGACTTGACGCAGAATAAGTCTTCTAATATAATTATAAGAACTGTGATACCAAAAATAATTTTAATTAATAAGATTTTTTTTCTAATAAATTTTTGTTTTATAGTCTGTCTTAATATCATATTTATAGGAATATCACAAAAAGTTATATAAATAAAATAACGAAAAATTTCCTTATCATTTTTATTCATTTTTCGTACTATTGCATGAAAAAGATGTGCATTAAGCAAAATGAAAAAGATGTGCATTTTATCAAGTGATAATAGCATTTCAAGCTTTTTCCATTAACTAAAGCTTAATCTAGTGCAACTCAACATTCAGCAAGATCGCAACTTAATCTCTCATGACTCTTCACTCAGCTAAGTTGCATCCTTTTACTATAACTGTATCTTCATACTCAAGGAACTTTTATTTATTTAATTTTTTTCCTTGAACGTCAGTGCATTGGATTTCTCGCCCGTCTTAATATTTTCCTGAATCATACAAATTTCAGTTGTACGATTCAATGAGTCAATATACAGTCTTTTATCTTTTCTGTCAAGCGCGTTTTTGCTCATTAACTCATCTATGTTTTCTGTTGACTGTTAAGTTATCGTTAGTAGTTGCTTGCAGCCTTGTCTTGAGAGAATATGTTTAAAAAACAGCAACAATAACAACAAAAAAACATTTGTACTATAGCAATACAAGTTAGGTAAACATAATAAAATTGATTATTTATTATAATTATTCATTATCGCCATTATTTATTTAAGCAATTATATTTTTATTTTAAAATACCTAATAATATGCATAAAGCTTCCTATTCTTGTTAATATTATGGTTAGTAATATTAGAATAAAAACAGAACCTAAAAATAATAATATACATAAAGCTTCTTATTCTTGTTAACATGATAGATAGTAAAACTAGAATAAAAGTAGAGCCTAAAATAATAATAAATGTTATTCATACGTAGATACTGCTGTTTAAACCAGACTCTTAATACCAAAAACAGTTCAGTCATTTGAGAGCCTATTTTTTTCTAAACAAACTGCCTTATAATAATTTAACAAATAAAATCTGTCTCATAGTCTCAGTTTTGCACCAAGTTCATAAACAACAAAGATTAAAAAACACTCGGCATACAATCTAGAGGTTTAAGGTTCAAATCCACTCTACACCTCTGTGTGCACAACCTATTTCTCCACACAGCAGTTAAACAAGGCTTGTGTTATGGAGTTTAGGGTTAGGGATTGTCCATAGCAACGCTAAGTTTAATTTAGCGTTTTTTTAAAAAAGTTTTATACTAAATCAAAAATTAAAATATTTAAATTCAAAAAAAATCACAACGTAAAAGAAAAAAGTAAAATAAAAATAAATAAAGTATTATGCATTTATGTGTAATAGAAAAATTTCCTGAATGCTTATTTAAGCAAATTTTAATATATGCTGAAATCAAAACTCAAAATTCCAATTTCAGTTTTCAAAATTCAATTCAATGCACATGCATGTAAAACAGTATTCAATACAAATATACCTAAAACATATTCATAATATTTATGTATAATTAAAAAAATACCCTGATGACATGAAGAAGATGATTTACAGGAGTCACTTCAGGTTGCATTTTTTTACTTTTTAGTAATTGCTCAAGGATTGAAGAAAGTTGTATCATTTTCCGAAAATTTATGAGCATTAATTCTCCTTCCTTTATAAAGTCTCCAACAGCTGTTTCCATAGCAATAAGGTCTTTCATGACAACGCCTTGCAAAATAAATTTTATTAAAATTTTCTAAATAAATAAAAACCAATAATTGAAGATTATTGATCTAAAAAACTCAGGAAAAATCAAAAAGGAACAAGTGACGAACTACAAAAATGTAAACACAATAAAAAACAAAACCATACCTCTAAAAACAATAAATCCATTTTGCATGCAAAGAATAAAAAAATAAAAAAAAATTAATAACATCATAAATGGATGTAAAACATGCAAATCATTTATCAGTGAAATTATTATATATAGGGGAAGTGGGGGGCATAACCACATATGGAGGCACAACCATTTTTTAACATTTCCCTTTGAAAAATGTTATCTAATATGGTATAAAACATATCACGCATTGATAAAACAGTTTCTTTCATTTCGCTTATGTCAAAAAAAGTGCCTGATGCGCTTCTGAGAAGTTGTGCATAATGTTTATTTTGATAAAAATATTATTTTTACATCATATTTTTCCAGACCTTTTTTAAGAGGATTGAGCAATATTTGATTTTAGTGTTAAAGATATATGTTATCAGCGTTATTTCATCAAGTGGAAACCACTTTTGATATCAACATAATCTAATAAGTAAGCTATGAAACTGAATTCTTTCTAAAAACTCTCTTCTGGGGCAGAACTCTCTTTTGGAGCAGAACTCAAAATGTAAATATGAAAAAATGTACCATGAAAGGTGTACCCCCAACGATTTTTGTGAGGGTGCGGTTATGCCTCACAATGGGGGCAAAACCGTTTTTTTCACTAAGTGTACTTTTTGTGTAATAAAATTTTTAAAAAATGTTACAGTTTTTTCCTTTTTGCAACAATTTAAAGCTTAATAATGTGGTTATTGAAATAAACTGTTGAAAAAACACATTTTGTTTTTATTTTCATATAACATCAATCCAAACGTTACGGGGGCGATTATGCCCCTATCTTCCCCTATCTACTACTGTAAATTTAAGTCAGCACAGTTTTATATTACTCTTACAAGTTTATTTAAAAAAAAGCCACCAAAGGTGGCAGAAAATCTTGAATTAACCCTTGATAATGAAATTTATAAGAGTTTAATGAAAATTACGTTTTTAAGATAAAACTGATAAATACTACAATCAAATAAGAAAAAAAATCTGGGTCAAGACAATAAATATCAGACAACAAAAGATTTCGTTAAAGATAGATTGTTGCATCCACTTTTGAAAAGTTGTATATTTTTTAGTAAAATTGCCACAAATAATATATAAAAATGAAATTGACTCAAAGAAGAATTCTAATTTAACTTTTAACATTAAATTTGAAACTAATAAACTCAAAAAGAGCTTATAAAACCTTACTATTACTATTAACACCAGAAAAAACAGTGACACCCTCCACCTCAAATCTGAATCTCTAGGAATATTCATGTCTTAAGATACTTCAGTACTTTACTTTTAAACTTTTTTAAGACACTTTGTTTAAAATAATCTCATACATTAGGGAGGGGGGGGGGGCATTACCCTAAACATATTTTGTATACTGCACCATATTTTTTATTTAAACATATTTTTTTATACTGTAATTAGTAGTCTAAAAAATTCTTCTTTTCAATAACACATCTCACATCTCTACATTAAACTGGAGAACTGCACAAAAAATAATTCAACACATTTTTTAAAACTGGAGAACTGCACAAAAAATGTTTCACATACTTTTTTAAAACTGGAGAAAAAGATCACAAAAAAATATTTAACATATCTCTGGATAGAACTGTGAAACTGTAATAAAAATGTTTTACAAATCTCCATGTTCTATTTAAAAATCTCTGTGTTCTTTTTTGAAATCTCTGTGTTCTTTTATACATTTCTGTGCAGAACTGTAAAACTATACAAAAAATTTCTACACATCTCCTTGACAAACTCTGAATTATTTTTCAAAGCTACAAGGATGATTTTTTTGTCCTCTACATCAAATTTATCTATTATACTAAAATGTTATGAGTTCTGCATTGCCTTTTAGATCATTTTAAACACAAGTTTAGATTATTTCAACAAAAGTAATAGAAAATAAAATTTTAAAATAAAACATTAGATGTAGCAATATACAGTACAAGTTTTATATTAAAATAACCTACAGTACAGGGATAGTAAATCCTTGAACTTGATCTGCCATGCTTCGATATTTTGCATAGTTTTGGTCTGATGATAAAATTTCTTGGGTCTCTTTAATAAACTACAGTTACAAAAACAACAGAATAAATGTAAAAACTTTTACAGTGATTTTAGACATTTAGATTTAAAAGTAGAAAAATATTTTAAAAAACAAGTAATTTTTCTTTAAGTAGAATAAACAGAAATATTAAAAAAAAATTAGAAAAAACTTTAAAACTATAAAATAATGGTTATCTAGGTTACTTAGGATTATTATTAAATAAAAAAAAGTTTTTTTTTTTAATAATAGTCCAAGGTTAAAAATTAGCAATCTATTATTAAATATGTTATAAAAGTATAATAGCAAATACCAATTTATCTTCAGGAGATAAAAATTCTTTTGTTTTGTTAAGTCGCAAAAGAGCACTATGCCCCAATCCTCCAACAACAGCCATTACTGTGTTAAAATCATTTAGCTTTAGAAGTTGCTAAACAGTACATTAAAAAAAATCAAAATTATGAATCAAAACTTCTAGTATTTATATCTGTATATGCACTTTAGTATTAACTTAAAATAATCAAGTGTTCGTAAACAAATTTAAACTATATGCTAAAATTATTTTAACACATTTATTACCTTTGTCATTTCTATAAACTTATGTATGGATTTTGCTCTAAGTTCTGGGGTATTATGACTTAAAACCATTGCTATAACGTATTTTGATATGTCATTAAACAAAGAAATTTGATCACGGAGATTCGGACATTCTAATGCAGATGCTGATTTACCATAGCGCTTACATTCCTCAATCTAAAAATTTTCAGAACTTTTTTTTCACAATAAATAAATATACTTTCAACTTATTGACGCATAATTGATAACTTACAGATATTTTTCTAAATCCTTTAAAAATGAGATAATGAAGGTGATTGGCAAAATCAGTACTTGACACGTCATTGAAATTTAAAGACTGCTTTCTTGAAAGCGATCCAGTATTTACACTTTTTGCACGCTTTGCAAGCCTAATGTAGAATCAAAACAAGAATTGAAACCAAAAAACTCAAAACAAAATTTTCAGAGCTAAAATCTAATTTAATGATACTGTATATATTTATGCATGTAAAATTATGGATGGAAACTAGGAGGGAACAAAACTAAGAGTGAATAAAACTAGAAGAGAATAAAACTAAGAAAGAATAAAATTGAGGGAACAAAACTAGGGGGAATAGAACTAGGAGGAAATATAACCATTATAATAATAAATAGGAATTGAAGAAAAATATAAAAACACAATGTTACACAATGACAGAAATTTTTTAACTTTATTTTAAATAAATTTTTTTTAATTTTTTAAAATATTTTTACTAAAAGTCTTACTTTAAATAAAATTTAAATATTATTTATTATGAATTTATTATAAAAAACTTTAAAACAATACTGAGAACAAGTTTTATTTACTTAAGAAGTCAATTACAAACTAAAAATATTTAGGTTTAACAAAAAATGGTTTAACACATTAAATTCTTTCAATGATGCTCAAAACAAATACTTTTGTATCTTTTGGTATAAGTAGCAATTTATGTTTTTGATAAAATATTGACAACAAAAAAACTACCCTCATAAAATCACGCAGATTACTTAACACAAAAATGATGTTGATAATGATAAATTCTACCTATCATGCTAACATGTGCTACTGCAACTACTACAACTTTCTAACATGTACTACTGCAACTGCCCAGTTCTCTAACATGTGCTACTGCAACTACCCAATTTTCTAACACGTATTACTGCAACTACCCAACTTTCTAGCATGTACTACTGCAACTACTACAACTTTTTAACATGTACTACTGCAACTGCCCAGCTCTCTAACATGTACTAATGCAACTACCCAACTTTCTAACATATGCTACTGTAACTACCCAATTTTCTAACACGTATTACTGCAACTACCACAACTTTCTAACATGTACTACTGCAACTGCCCAGCTCTCTAACATGTACTACTGAAACTACCCAATTTTCTAACACGTATTACTGCAACTACCCAACTTTCTAGCATGTACTACTGCAACTGCCCAGCTCTCTAACATGTACTACTGCAACTACTACAACTTTTTAACATGTACTACTGCAACTACCCAACTCTCTAACATGTACTACTGCAACTACCCAACTCTCTAACATGTACTACTGCAACTACCCAATTTTCTAACATGTACTACTGCAACTACCCAACTCTCTAACATGTGCTACTGCAACTACCCAATTTTCTAACACCTACTACTGCAACTACCCAACTTTCTAGCATGTACTACTGCAATTTCCCAACTTTATAACATGTACTACTGTAACTACCCAACTTTCTTAATGAAGTACTAAATTAAATTAATCTTAAAAAAGTTAAATGAAAATATGCTTTCCTTAAAAATTTGGTTACAAATTTTCCATGAAACTCTAATAGTAAAAATTTAAATTTATTTGATGAAATTGATCGAAATCTCTAAATTAAAAAATAAAAATTTTATTTAATAATAATAAAAAAAAACAATTAAAAAAAAAGCCGCAAATAATTGAAGCTAATATTGTTTTTATGTTAACTGTTTATGTCTAGGAATTCAGTTTTAAAAAAATTAAACATTAAATAATTCTCAAATGAAATAATTTGATGATCTTTTAATAGAATGTAAAGAACATAATATAAATACAAAATAAAATAAACAAAAATTAAACTAAATTATATATGTATAAATATCATATAACGGATTTTTGTCTGTATTATTTAGTTACTTATAGCCAATGATTTGATGGTCAGGTTTTTTTAATCAAAAATCTGACCATCAAATCATTGGTCTAATGAAATATTCTACTACAGTAAAAAAAATTTCAAATGACAATTTTGTTATTTTTTTTGACATATTGACAAAGTTTTTTCAATATTTGATAAAATTTTACTGCCAACCAAAATTTTATATATTATTTGTATTTACAAAGTTGCCTTACTATTAACTTTTCAAAAATGATTGTTTAAGTATAAATATTTCTTTTATAAATATACCATTCTTCAATATTTAATGTAAAAATTGTTCCATTTTTTAGTTTTTCTTGAACAATACCATTCAATTCATCCAATATTAATAACATAGTTTCTTTGTTTTCAAAATCAGATCCATAGTTAACAATCCAATATCTATAAATCAAACTTGAAAATATATACCAAATTAATACAATATTAAACAAAACAAAAATTAAACTGCAAAAACCATGAATATTCATTGGTTCGTTAAATACAGACAGATATAACAAAAATAAAAATAGTTTGAACTAAAGTGAAATGTAATCAAAGTTATTCAACCGCTGCGATTATCAAAGTTATGCTAACAAAGTGAAACAAATGTAAAAAAATTATCTGAGCAAGTATAAACACTAGGGCAATGACTTTTATACAAAACTCGTTTTTCTGTATCATATTTTGATCAAATAAGATATATAAAAGCTGGTTTTCAAGGTGATTTGACCAAATGAGCTTATACACTATCATTCTTTTTAGTGTAGTGACAGTAGACATCAATTAGGTGATAAAAAAACTTCATGGCATGTCTCCAACCACCTGTTTTTTTAATCTCAGTTTTACTATTGCTAAAGGCAATAGTAAAACTGCAAGTTAAAAGGCAAATTTATCATGATCGCTTATTAAATCCTATACAAAAAAATACTCTACGTTTGGAAATTTAGTCGACCCATGGAGCTTATTGCCCATGATAAAAGCAAAAATACAATCTCACACAATGCTGGCAACTAATAAACATTTGTTTGGGGTATTCTCTCCCTTGTACGATTTGGTACAGCCAAACAACAACTCTTGTCTTCTTGCCAGTAATCACACTTGTTATGTTGGCAACAATCATCAGAAATAATCCACACAGGTTGAACTCCTCTAACTAATCAATAAATTCTTCTGTAATTGTTTAAACCTTCCCATCATTCAGTGCAATCAATTTAACTGCAATCAATTTAACCTCTGTTTTTAAATTTTTATTTTTATTGTTTTATTAATAATTTAAATAAAAAGTGAGCATGCTTTATCTGGAGAAGTGGAATAATCACTTTGATGGTAAATAAATAAGCTCTGATTATAAAGCAGTGATCCTCGAAATTGAAGCAAAATATAAATATTTATAAAATATTTATAAAATATTTATAAAATATTTATAGCAGGGCACAGTGGTTAGAGTTGTTGCTCAGAACCAAGAGGTCCAAGGTTCAACTTAGGCTCAAGCCCAATAACCAATATTGGTAAGAGAGATGTGAACTTCCTATTTAAATGCTCTTTGATAAGAACTTCTGGGAGCCACAAAAAAATAAAAAAATAAAATATTAGCTTTTCTGTTGTTTACTTATTTATTTTTGAACTTATTTAGAATTTAATAAAAATTCTAGATTTGTTCGAACTCATTTAAAAAAACATTAAAAAGAATGTTTTATTTAATTAAACGTTTGTTTTAATGTAGTGTTTTTTAAATTAATTTGTTCAGATTTATAAATCTGAACAAATTAATTTAACAAAAAAACACTAAAAATGGCATTATTTATATTATTATTTTTTTACTTGTTTATGTACTCTTTTCACACAGTAATAATACATAAATGATACACCATATGAAGAGAGCTTATGGAGAAGACCAACATACCAAATTTTATCAAAGGCTTTAGAAATGTTGAGAGAGATAGACCTAACCTCTCCTTATTTATCTAATGCACGATTAAACCTTTAGGTTATTATTGTTAACCAATCAACAGTAGAATGAGAAGATCAAAATCCATATTGATGATAAGAAAGTAAGTTGATATATTCAAGATTAAAGATTATTATGGTTATTGTGTTTGTAAAATAAAGAATCAAAAACCTTGCTTATGATAGGAAGAAGAATAACGGGACAGTAGTTAGACAATTGGGATAACAGAAGATGCTTTTCAGCAGGCTGGAAAACAAGACTCTGATAAGCACTTGTTAAATAGTATAGATGGAGAACACTTCTGCAATACTATAACAGGTATGTTGTCTAGACCAAAAGCTGTAGAAGAGTCTAAGCAGGAAATTAATTTATATACAGAAGCTGGAGTGATACGAATTTCAAGTAATGGATCAACCTGTTTGTTAGCTATATCAGGTAGGATATGATTAGCAGAATCAAGAGATGAAATTGATGAAAAGTGTTTAGAAAACAGCTCAGCTTTATCTTTAGGTGAAGTAACAAAATCTGAACCATGTAAGAAAGGTGGAATGACAAATTTGCCTTTAATATAGACACTGTTAAAGATTGTCCGAAAATCTTGGCAGCCTAATTTTTAAGATGAAATACAAGATTTTGTCACATGAGAATAGTGGGTTTTGGCATCAGAAAATTTTTTTTAGTGTTTTCTAGTAGTAGTAAACAGTCGTCTGTTTTCTGGAGAATTGTTTTGGCAATAGATATGGAAGTAATGCTTACAATTGGTATATTGAAGCAGCATAAAGAGAGAAAAACGATAGAGTATAGTGAGGCTTGACTTGGAATTGTCGAAAGGGAATAAAAGATTCCATGCCAGCCTGAATCCAAAAAGTTACATAAGTAGCACATTTGTCAGCATGGAAAGAGTTCCAGCCAGCTTTAAAATAGTTGTAAGAGGTATGATGATAAGGGGATTCTGATGATAGAGAAGAACGAGATAACAGTTTTAGAGAGATCAAAGCATGATCAAAAGCACCTAAGGGTGAATGTGAAGAAAATGAGCACTGACTAGGATTAGATTCAGATTGTTAGGAAACCCAATTGGAAAGTAGTAAACGACCGGGGTTTGATTTTTGACCTGGGCCAAAGCCAGGTTTATGGTTGGGGCTGTATAAATATTGGTGCATATTGATATGGTATATAAAAACAAGTCAATATGCACCAATGTTTATGCAGTCCTGTCCGTAGAAACGGCCTTGGCCAAAGTCAAATACCAGCCTCAGTCATTTACTATTGGATAGTTGACTATTAGTGTTAGAGATTGAAAAAGGCAAAAGTTGTGGGCCTTATCATCTGCAGAGTCACTGACACTAGAACCAAGTCATTTAGCGTGGTGATCAATAAATTCACCAACAACAAGGATATTGCCTGAAGGATAAAGAGAAGGCTTAGTTAATTTAATCAGAAACAACATCAAAAAGAGTGCAGTCTTGAGTGAAGAAAAGCGATATAGAACATAGTGAAAGGTGATAGAGTGAAGTGGAGCTAAACAAAAGCACATAGAAGACAGTCTGTGGATTCAAACCTAGTTTCCCAATTTCTAATTTTTACGAATGTAAATGCCTAGGCCAAGCATGTGACTATTGGAGTCTTTACTAATTAAAGGAAGATATACATCAACACTATCTGTTTTGAGTTCAGCTGTCTCATCACAAGATGAGACAGCTGAAGTAAAATTTGTCTCACAAATTTTACTTCAGCTGAGAAGTAAGAGCATGTAGGTCTGGTGAACTTTGAAAGAGATAAGACTCAAGAAAATTCCTTCAAAGACCACAAATATTAGTGATTGATAGATTTAGATAACTTGGTGATGACGATTGTTTTTTTGTGTTTTATAGTTTTTGATACTATAGTCATTTTTAAATTTGTTAAAAAACTTGACTCAAAGCACAGATAGTACTCAGTACACTATCTAATAGTTTAAGCAATTGTCTTAATTCTAATAATAAACCCTAAGTCTTAACAAAGGCTCCAAATGTAGCATCAACAATGCACACCAAAAGTATGAGCAGCGACACTATCCATGCAAAACATGGAATTGTTAGTACTCTAGTATTTTATAGCTGTTGATAGAATCGGTCTCTGTGAGAGCTACGACAGAGTTAGAGAAACTTGACTACCACCTGGCCTTAGAACCATAAAACTGAGTTTTAGAGCTGTACCCTCTTTAACAGCTAAAAAAAGAAATGTTAACCTAAACTTAAACTAGGAAAAAAAACTATACTTAAACTAGGAAAAAAAACTAAAGAATAAGCAAAACAATTCCTTACGAAAACTTTTAATTTGTATAAACACTTTTTTCAAAAAGTTGCACAAAAAATGGTTTAAAAAAATAACGTTGTCTTAATATCATAATTATTAATCATTTCATGATTTAATTAGTAAGTCAAGTTTAAAAAATAAAACTTTTAAACAAATCTTTGTAAAAAAAGAAACAAAAAAAAAAAAAAACAATTGAATCATGGAAAGATTTAATTTAACTTATTCATCATTTAAAGTAACTTGAAAATAATATTCTTTTAAAAGATTTTTAGAACAACAGAAAAATAGTTTCAAGCGTTTAAATTTATCATAAAAAATACATATCTAATAAAAAAATATATATATAACATTTCGTTTACAAATAATGCATTTATTTTTAAACGATCATTATAATTAATTTTTGATTTGATTTTATTTAAAGCCTTTGTGTAAAATAAAAAATTTAAAAAAGATCAATGATTAAAAGTTATTCGTAACGATTTTTTTAATTGCATATAAATTGTAAAAACATTAAAACAGCCGTTATCAAATTGTAAAGAAAAATAATAATAAGCGTTGTCAGTTACAGCGTGAAATTTTAAATCTATCTATAAAAACGTACAATTTTATATTGTTTTTAACTATTTTGTTAAAAAACGAAAATCTATAATAAATTATTCTAAATAGTAAGGAAAGAAAATACAACTTCACTAGACTAACATTAAATAAACTGAATAACATGACAATATATATATATATATATATATATATATATATATATATATATATATATATATATATAAATATATATATATATATATATATATAAATATATATATATATATATATATATAAATATATATATATATATATATGTGTATATATATATATGTGTATATATATATATATATATATATATATATATATATATATATATATATATATATATACACACACATATATATATACACATATATATATATACACACACACACATATATATATATATATATATATATATATATATATATATATATATATATATATATATATATATATATATATATATATATATATATATATATATATATATATATATATATATATATTAGGAATGTTATGAGGATGTTAGGGTGGCTTTATCGAGCAGGAGTAGAAACTACAAGTTTTTAGAACTGAAGTTATCAGAATCAAAGTCAGACTTTTTTTCAGATGAATACAGTCACAATCATTTTAATTAATGTAAAAAAAAAAATTATTGCTACAAATTGTCAATTTTTGTTTTGCAATTTTGTTTATTTGTCAAGTGAGTAATATCTATTTAATACCATTATTTTTTCAGAAATTTCAATTAATTTTTAGTTCTTTTGAGACCCAGGTTGATACACTTTTGAAGAAGAAATTCAGTTATATATATTAGAACCAGAACATAAACAATGGTGATGCAAGGTGACCTTTTTTAAAAGGTAAATAAAACCATATAGGGTGATACCAGAAGTTATTTATAATATATTAGAGATTATACTTTCAGATCTCGCTCTCAGAAATCTCTTATACTCGGACATCTTGGTCTTGGAATCTCGGTCTCGAAATACCGAGAAAATAAAGTGAAAATATAAAAATTGAGATTACTGAAAATTATTGAAAACCTTCAAAACTTAAGCTTTTATTATTTAATAAGAGATTTAATAAGAGTCAAAACATTTTTGAGTGAACAAGAGTCTTCAGCATAAATTTTCTCACGAGGAACTATTTTTCATGTATTTCTCCGAAGGAAACAGGTGAAAAATAAAAAGTACTAATTTTGAAGATTTTTAATATTTTTCAGTAATCTCAGTTTTAATGTTTTTAAAAATCGTATAAGTTGCAATTGTAGTGTAATGTTTTCTCATTTATGATTCTGTTGATAATGAGATTTGTCACATAAAAAGATGTAAAAAAAAAAAGACTGTATTAAACTAAAAAGTAAGTGTTTATTAAATTTATTCATAAAAAGATTATTTTAATTTATGACATTTGCTATAGCAACTGCAACTTTAATGATTTTTAAAATTGAACAGATTCAAATATTGAAATGAAAAATATTGCGAGGAACTAATTTGAAATGGCAAAACTACTGTCTAGTTTCGAAAAACTACAAGTTTCACATTGAATGCACATTGTGTCCTGATGGTGGGAAGGAAAAATTCAAACGAACAGACTACAATACAAAACAAATTCATGCTCATTTATGTAAGTTCCATCAATATTGCCATGTTTCTTATGCTGACAAATCCAAAAATCAATGCATCATCAATCTCACTCAAAAATGATTAACTCGTTTTTTAATGTGAAACTAACATTGACTGACAAAATTGTTGCTAAGCTACCATCTAATATTGGACTTAGTTTCAACCAAATAGCAAATCGATTCGTGCAAAAACTGATTGAAAATTACGCAAAGGTTCCACAGCGGTTGAAGCTCCACAGCGGTTGAAGCTCCACAGCGGTTGAAGCTCCAAAAAACGTAGAGAGAGTTTATCAGACAATTTACAGTTCATCAGCGTATGCGAGGGACAAAGTGATGAAAGAAATAATGCTGATAAATTCCAACGGAGGAAAGTTTTCCTATGTGAGTGATGAGGCAGCATTTAAACAAATCAAAGTTATGAACATCCATATTTTTGGATCCAACAATTACAATCAAAATCTTGGTATGATCGAAATGGGGTTAAAAATATGATATTAAAACACTTTTGAAGTTGCAAAATTATCAATTAATGACCTTCACCATTGATCCTGACCGAGATTGCATTGGTCAAACTTTGGATAGGGCTAGTATTTGTACTAAATCCTGCCGCCTCTCACAACGACTTCATCACATTTGCTATGATCATGGAATCCATTTTTGTGTGACACGAGTACTAAACCATAAAAAGATAATTACAGATACAGGCTTTCACAGGAAGATGTGCGATTTCACGTCTTTATATGACCATGCAAAAAAAAAAATGTTTTAACAATTTGACCACGGCATATTTTTAAAATTTAAAAACGCGCTATAAAAACTTACCTAAACTTATCTGAAAAAAAAATTTAAAAAAATAATAAATATTAACAAAAGAGAAAATAAAAAAAAATACTTATTTAAAGCAAAAACACAAAAAAATAAATACATATATATAACGCAACTAAAACAAAACTCATCAAACTAAAATGCTTAGTCTATTTAATTTATGCATTAAAAAACTTTTTCAATCTTTGTTTTAACATTTTTATATATTTTTTATTTATTTAATATGTTCAAAAGTTAAATATTTCTCATAAAAAATACATAGTTATATAATAAAATAAAAAAATATTTTATTAATACTTTTTTTTAAATTAATTAGAAGTGTTTTTTTTTTTTACTTCATTAAAAGCTTTTCGATAATATAAAAGCATTTAAGATCAAACTTATTAAATTGTAACGGTTTTCTAAAACCTTTTTTTTTTTAACGAAATTTTGTTCATCTTTTTAAATGCATTAACTTTAATCATTCTTATATTTAAATTCGTTAAAGAGACTTTCGTAGTCGTAGAATGTCATCGCTTATAATAACAAAACAATTTTTTATTTTTTAATAAGATTTATTTTAGAAATGAACACTTAAACAATTTATATGTTTTAAATTAAAAAAATATATACAACTGTCAATTATATTTAAAAAACAAAACTTTTTTTCAGTAAATTGTTACTTTATTAAAAATTGTTTCGCTAATATAAAAACATTTGTTAAGAAGTTTTGATGTAATTAATTTCACTTTTTTAGAATATTTTTTATTTAGCGCATTTCTAAAACGTTTTTTGAATTAGCCGCGGTCAAACCGTCATAGCAAAATGTAACTTGCGTGGTCATATAAAGACGTGAAATCGCACATCTTCCTGTGAAAGCCTGAGATATCAATCGAGCAAATAGCAATTTATTATCAGACTAAAGTCAAGAATCAGATACAGAGAGTGACATGTTAGCATGTACATCTCAGAGTTTTTGCAACGCACTAAGAGTATTTAGTTTAGAAACAAAAGGAGAAGATGAAGAAAAAAATAAAGCTGAAGCAAATTCTGATGAAGAAAACATGGTAGATGAGGAAGCATTTGAGTACGATCCTGCATTGCCAAGTACTAAAACTCTCAAAGATGTACAAACTATTGTAAAAAAATTCAAATACAAACTTAAATTAGTCAAAGAAAATGCTCAATCTCTTGGAATCAAATTCAAATTACTAGTTCTTGATGTCAGAACTCGATGGAATAGTGCATTGAAAATGTTGAAAACTTACAAAGATATGATCCTAGCTATAAAATAAACTCTTAAATAATTTGGACATGATTGGGCTGATTATTTAGTGACAAGCATTCCTGAATTAGTAGCAACTCTTCAACTATGTAAAATGACTATGGATGCCATGAGTGGCAATGATGCTGACTTGAAGATTGCAGAAGGCGAATTAGAATTTTTAAAGGAATTGTGACCAAAGAAAAATTTTATTTGTGCTCGTTTGATTGAAGAAATTGAAATAGAGATTCCTAAAAGACGTCCGATCATAACTGTTAGTCTGCTCAAATTTCTCAACAATCCAGGAGTTCCTGAATAGCTGAAAATGTCCTCATTCTTACTCTCATCAAATAAAGAAATTATTGAAGAAGCAAAAAGACTTTGGCTTTCACTCCATCCAGTAATGATAACAGTGATGTTGTGGAAATTGCATCTGAAGCTCATCAGACAGTCAAACAGACTCCTAATGATCCTAAGTTACGTCTTCTCGCTTCCTTAAAATATCGAACAACTTCCAACTTCTTTTCCAAAGCTCAAAGACCCACCTAGAAATAAAAGATAATCCAATGCCCGACACAAATCCAAGTCACTTATCCTAATGATCTGACTGCTGATGAATTTAACAGTTCATTACAACTGGATTCAAATCAGAAAAGTTATGCATGTTAGAAAATGCATTGATATTAATCAAGCCAATATCGATTTGATGAGAACAAAATTTTTCAATTTCAAGCAACCACCATAGTAAGAAACAGGAGAGAATGACAGCTGCAACTTTGAATGACTCATGTCATTATGAATGTTTTTTCAAGAGGCAACATTAATTTGATAAATGTAGAAAACTTATGGTTCATTAATATAATAATTATTAAAAAATTATAAAACAAATTTTTCAGAAAATTTCAGTTTATTTTTATAGTTTTTACAATTTTGAAAAAACCTCGGTTTTATCTCGGTTTTCGTACAAGATCTCATCTCAGAATAATATTATCTCGATGGACCAACAACTGAGACGAAAAAAAAACGAGGTCTGAAAGTATAATTTGAGATGCCAAAACGTTTTTATCTACTCGGTCCTTTAAGAACTTTGAACACTTATTTTGTGACCAACTCTAAAACCTAAAAAAATCTTTTTTTTATATATCCTTTTTTTTTCATTATCTGAAAAGATGTCTAGATTAAAGTAAGTATTTTTAAAATTAAAATTAACAGAACTGTATTGTAGAATAGATATATTATCTAAATTAAGTTTAAATATACATAAAGAAAATCAAAAGCAAATAAACTTTTTCAACACTTCTTTGTGTGTATGTGGGTAGTTTTATATAAAACTATACAATTTTTCTATCAAATAAACTTTACTTACTTAACAGTATAATAGACTTGTGATAGAACATGCAAATCATACTTTGACTGTTTCGCTCTAAAAAATAAAAAAATTTATATATTAAAACACCATAAAAATAGGAACAGTGTGTAGTATGTATAGTTAAAAGCCATCTGGGGACTGGGACAGTGTTTCATAAAACTAGGCCAAGATCAGTACTATAACCAGTGATGATTAAATATTTTAAAATCCTAAAAAAATTAATACAAATATTTTCTTATCATTATCAGATACATTTTGAAATTTTTATATATATTACTATTATAATTGTTATCATTTATATACTTTATATATATATATATATATATATATATATATATATATATATATATATATATATATATACATATGTGTGTATGTATATATATATATATTAGGGGCTATTCTAGGAAAAAAAATTGGACTGCAGTACCTCCAGTCCTGGAGGAAATATTACAGCCATATTACATAATACAAATATTACAAAGTAAAGTATAATTTTATCAACAGAACCATTAATGTATTACAAATCTGATTTCTATTTGAATTTAAATTCTGTGATGTCAATTAAAACACAAAAAGCCATACCATCATGCGAGATGGGTGGCAAAAGATATGGGGCTTACCATCATGCGAGATGGATGGCAAAAGATATGGGGCTTACCATCATGCGAGATGGATGGCAAAAGATATGGGGCTTACCATCATGCGAGATGGATGGCAAAAGATATGGGGCTTACCATCATGCGAGATGGATGGCAAAAGATATGGGGCTTACCATCATGCGAGATGGATGGCAAAAGATATGGGGCTTACCATCATGCGAGATGGATGGCAAAAGATATACTGTTTAAAATATTTTAGTTTTTGTATTCACTTTTATATATCAAATTTATAAAAAACAAATAATAAAAATTAAAAATTTTATGAAAAGTAAAAAAAAAAATTATGAAAAACAAAAAATTCAAGAGAAAATGAGAAACCACACAAATTGTAAAAGGGAAAAAAAAGTTGTTCTATCTATCTATTGATATTAAACTTTTCCTTTTTTTTCCAACTAAAAACAATTAGCTTAAATGCAAAAAAATAATCAGATATGGATTTCTAAAAATGGACTTAATACTAAATGGGATTTCTTTTCGTGATTTCCATCAAGCCTCACTAAACCCTATGATTTTCTCCTTGTTCAGCTGCACATTTCTAATAGTTATCAATCTTTTCCATACACACACAAAAAAAAACTCTATGGAGAATAAAAGTTTTTTTATAAGTGTAAGAAATTGATGCAAAAAGTTCCATTCATTCTTAGATTACAAAAACTCATATTTTATCTAGAAAGTTAGGTTCTAAAGACTTTTGAAAAATCTTCAACAATGTTATTAAAAAAGGAAAATCTAACTATTTTTTTGTCTTATCTCCCAAGGTACTATTTGCAAAGAACTTTTTCTCTAACTTATCTCTTAAATTCTAATGATCATACACTTCCTGTCATCTCAAACAGATAGGTCAATCGGCAATCCAAATCACGTCTGCTTCTGTTGCTAAAGTTAATTCTCACTTCTCTACAACTTGTGAACTACAACTCTACAACTTGTGGATAACAACTCCTCCACAACTTGTGAACTTTTATCAAAGTTTTACAAAAGTGTTCTCCAGAACACTTTTGTAAAAGCATTTTTGTTATTCTCTAAACTATTTAACAAATACTTAGCTGAATCATGTTTTCCTGGAATCTGGGATATCATTTTAAAAAACTCTGGAGGTCACTCTGACCACTCTAACCTCGCCCACTCAACTTTCTTACTACTATTAGCAAAGTCTTTGAATCTTTAATTAACAAAATTCTAATATCTAATCTCAAACCTAACAATAAACTCTGTAATAATCTTATTTTTAAGGTGATTTAAAAAAAAATAAAAAATTATTAATTGTTTCACTGTAAATTACAAAACTTGTTTGTTGACTTGTTAACTGTAATAACAGAAAAGTTCAACTGTGCATTATTGGCATGTTAGCCTTCTCTATATTATCTCTTATTATGGTGTATCTGAGAAAGTTTTAAAAAATTGTTGAATCTTCTTTTTTAAATTATTAAAGTCATGCTTGATGGACCACACCTATCACTTTGCCATATACTAAGAAAGTACCTCTATTATACTGCAAGGTTCTATCCTAGTTTCTATGTTGTTTCTCACCCATATTAATATGCTTTCTAACAATCTAACTTCTAAAGTGGCTCTATTTGCTGATGACAAAACCATATACTAAAGCCTTAACAAAAGTTTAAAACAGGTTGCCGATCTTGGATGTGAACTGTCTTCTGTGACAGCTTGGGGCTTGCAGTGGCTGGTGAATTTTAACTTATACAAAACGGATGTTTACTGCTAATAATCATTGTAATATTTTTGATATTCTTATATTGATAAATGACCAAACTCTAAATATGTCTTCTCCTTTGCATATTCTTAAAATACCATTTACTACTAATTTCTCATGGAAACCATATATACAACCCATTACAAAGTTATTATCTGGTTATTATAAAGGTTGCCATTCATTATTGTGCTTGCTTTTGTAACTATCTTATTGATATTTTTGATTCTGATCTCTACCTTTATAAATCTTTTTTTTGTTTGTCCTTGTATGGAGTACTGTTGTCACAATTTAGCTGGTTCTTTTAATGAAACTCTCACTTTTTTAGACAAGATCTAATAATGCATTAAAAAATTGTTGGGCATCATTCTAGCTACTAAACTTAAACCTACGTTCCAACATTGAAAGATCTATTTCTTTTTTCTACAAATGCTACCCTAATTGCTGCTCACACAACCATCCCTTCTTCCATTAACCAGAACTCAATCTTGTGTGATTTGCCATTCAGCTAAGGAATAGTAAATAAATTACGCAACGCTAAACTTTACTTTAAAAAAAAGATTAAAAGTTTTCCCTCGCAAAGCCTTAAATTAATAAAAATTGCCATGTAAATGAGCTTAAGATCTCTTCTTTTTTTTAAAATAAATTTAGCGTTGTATAATTTATGGACAATCCCTAACGACAATCTTTATACTGTAACTGTTTCTTCCTCTAAAAAACTTTTATTCATCTGGGCTTTTTGCTCGAAAATCTGTGATTTGCAATTTTTATTTTTCCTGACTTATACAACTTCAGTTTTGAACAGAAATCACATATGATCGCACTCTGTAACTGACCACGCCAATATTTTTTTTTTTTTACAATTTGACCATGGCTGTTTTAATGTTTTAACAACTTAAATGCAATAAAAAAATTGTTATGTTATGAATAATAATTAATCGTTGATCTTTTCTAACGTTTTTATTTGACGCCAAGGCTTTAAATTAAATAAAAAATTAATTATAATGATCATTTAAAATAAATGCATTTTGTGTAAATTAAATATGTAAATTTTTTTTAGTAGACCTGTATTTTTTAAGATAAATTTAAACATTTGAAACATAATCTTATGAAAAAAATCTTTCATAAGAATTTTAAAATAATTTTAATTATGAATAAGTTTAATTAAAATCTTCCTGTTGCAACGGAATGATTTAATTGCTTTATTTTTATTTTTATTTTTTTGTTTCTATTTATTTACAAAAAATTGTTCAAAAGTATTTTTTTTTTAACTTGCATACTAATGAAATGATTAAAAATTACTATTTTAAAAAGACTACATTATTATAAAAAAAAAAATTTTTTTGCAACTTTTTCAAAAAAATGTTTATACAATTTAAAAGTATTATATTTTTTTCATTTCAATCATTTAATTTCACTTTTTAAACAAACAACAATTTAAATAAAATTTGTTCATTTATTAAACAATCATTAAAAGTAATTTGTAAAAGAGTTTTGCTTAACTTTAATAAAAGCTTCAAAAGAGAATTTTGAAAGTAATTAATTTCCAACATAGCAAAAAGTTAATTTTACTTCAAGTTTAAGTTTTTTGAGTTTTATTTTAAAGCTTATATATTTTCTTTTTCGTAAGGAATTGTTTTATTTTTTATTTTTTTTCCATTTTTTCATAGCTCTTAGACTTAAAAAAAAAAACTTAAAAACGCTAAACTGTTTAGGTTTGCATTTCTTTTTTAGCACATTTCTGAAATGTTTTAATCATCAAAATACCTAAACAGTCATGGTCAAGTTATCAACAAAAAAAATCATTTGCGTTGTCAATGTGCTCAATCGCACACCATTTCTGACCAAGACTAAACTTACAGTCTAGAGTCTAATCTTTTAAGTTTACTGTCAACCACTTTCTTGCTCATTAACTCTTTTCTTTGTTTTCTACTAACTTGAAAACTTATTTATTGGTTGTTTAAAGCAATGAATCAATTTGTCTCTCTTTCTCTTATAATACTTTCACTCTCTTATAATATTTTCTTTTATCGACACAAAAAACATTCTGCACATGTTACAGCTTTCCAACTTTAAAACAAATATATAACTAATTAATAAACCTTATTTTCAAAAAAAGTATACCTATCAATAAAACTGCTGAGAAGATCTTCCGAAGTGATGTACCAATGATAAGTGATAAAAAATACTTTTACAAACTTTGCATCATTTGAATTAACTAACGTCTGTTGCTCTTAAAAAAGTAAAATAATAAATATAAATACAAAAAAACCTCACTGGCATTAACAACAATTATATTTACTCCAATAAGAAGCATAGTATACAAATAAAAAAGGTTTCATTTCTTGTTTTTAGGTAAAACTCTTTAAACCTTTTTTTTATTCTAAAAAATAAAAACAAGTTTTATAACAAACAAATTATTTACTAATTTTTTAAAACAACAATAAACTTTTAAGACAACAACAAATAATTTCTTAACGACAACAATAAATTTTCAAAACAACAACAAAAACAACAATAAACAACAACAAACAAAAACAAATACAAAAACAAATATAACAACAATAACAACAATAACAAATAGCAACAACAAAAAATGACATTTTAACTTTTTTAACATGTTTTGTTTGATTTTTTATTATAATGCTTTTAATTCTTTACTATACAGTTTTAGGCATTCTATACAGTTTTAGGCTTTGTATTTTTAGGTACCTTCTAAATTTTGGAAAAGAGGATAAGATTGACAACTTTTTTGAAAAATAATTTAGAGAAACATTTAAAACTCCCTAAGTAAAGTGCTATTTTGCATGAAACTTCTTTTACATTGGTTTTAAACAAACAACTTATAAACTAGTTGGTTTTATATTCAATTTTTGGATTAGTTTTGGTTTAGTTTAATTTTAAACTAGTTGGTTATATATTAAATTTTTTTTCAAGGTAGCAGGTATTTCATAAATACTTTTAGAAAATAAAAATCATAAAACCAGACATTTCAGCTTTTTTCTTAATGTACAGTTAATCTTAAAAATTGATACAAATTACATGATGTGGCAGATAAACATTTAGTAAAATTCAGTTGATTAGAGAGCTGTATTCAAAAGTTATAAGCCATCAAAATGAGATGGATCAAGATTTTTTTTAAACTAATCACTGAAGCAAAAAATTAAAATGGCATCTTTATTTTTCTCCTTAAATTTTTATATATGCATCAATCAAAGAGTGTTAACATGCTGCAGCTGTAACAGAAAGTTGCTCCTTTATGTACTGATTCAGAAAAGTATTATAAACTTTTAACGATTAAACAATCAATATTTTAACTCCAATTTTTATTTGAAAATTTACTGGAGCCTTAATACTACCAAAAATATTAACAGGTACTTATTTATAATCCCAAATAAATTTTTGTAATTCAAAATCACAAAATTTTTTTTACAACAATCAATTATGACTTGATGTTTTCTAAATAAACACCACATTATTCACACCATACATGCATTAAAATAAAATAAACTGCAACCTAATCCTGTCTTATTAAAACAACATCGTGAGTTTTTTTTATATTAAATTTTTTTTGCACTTTCTGGGTTAAATTAAAACCAGTTCTAAATTTGATGTCAATGAAACAATATAAAAGTGTTTAAAATAATACATATTGGCCTCGGCTTAATCAGCCACTTTTTGCATAATCCGAATCGTTATTGGCATCTGCCTTTTTTTTTATTAATTTACTGATTTTCCAACTAATGGCATTTTAATATTTTTACCCTGCATTATGATAATAATTAAATAATAAATAAATTGACTTTATGCATTACATAGAGTTTTTTTGAGAAATTGTTTATATTGATTTTGTTTACAGGCAAATTTATTTATTTTTAAAGGATATTTCTAAGCTTTAATTAAATAGCTAAATGTACTTATTCTTTTATTACCATATTGTTGTTTATAGAGTAATTTTATTTTGTGTTGTTCTATTGTTATACTTAAAAGTTACCTATTTAAGCATTGTCATCTATTTGTATTCAATAATGCCTTCTATATTTCTATATGATTGTTGTTTAAATATCTAAATTACTAATAAACTAATAGTTACAGAGTAAAAGTAAACTGTTTATCTTAACACCATTTTTTTAAATTGAAATAAAAAGTGTTCCTCTAAAATTGTATTTATTTTTTAAAAGTTTTCTTTACATAGTTAAAAAAACTAAAAAATTTATATCATTTTAACTGAGCTTTTTTTATTTTAACTGAGAACTGTCCAAGTATTTGTTTACCATTTCAAAAATTTTAATAATTAGTTAATCCAATGGTATCTGCATCAGCCTTTTCCTATCCATCCTATCTATTTTATTATATTTAAATTAAATTTATTATTAAATAATAACAAATTTAAATTTATTTTGTTGAAAATAATTTAAATTTTTAAAAAAATTTAAAAGTTGAAGAACTTTTTTTTTTTTTGCTGATAGTTTTTTTTTGACTGTTAAGAAATTCACCCTTTAACAATTGCCCCCTCATTAAAAAAAAAACACAACTGAAATGCGAGAAAACATAAAGCAATAATGTGATGTGTTTAAAGTAATCTGAAAAATATCAATTAAAACCAAACTAATTTTTTATTGAAAATATTAAAACCAATTGGAGTTGATGTAGATAAGTTGCAAAGAGATCAAACAAAAATAAGTAACACTGTTGAAATTTATAAAGAGCTGATAAACATGTGACCATTTTTATCAACTAATAAAAAAAAAATTGAAAACTAGATATCTTCAGACAATCAGTAATGCGCATTTACTTGCAAACATGCTAGATCCAAGATATTTTGGATCTAATCTTTTTGAAAATGAAAATGAAGCTGCAATGACCTTTGGAGATAAAGAGTTTAAGAACTTGGTACCAATAATATTCAAGTTGAAAGCCAAATCTGCTCTATTCGATAAAAGCTACTTGTATAGTGAATCTGTTTTAAAAAATGTCACCAATAGAATGGTGGAAATCTCTAAAATATTTGGACTGCAACATTATCATGGATACTGAAGGTTGTTAACTTCACCAGCTTCTAGAGCTGGAATTAAAAGAATTTTTTTGACTTTTTGGACTTGTTCATCCTAAGTTAAGATACAAGATGGAAGTAGAGAAACCGGCAAAGCTTGTTCTTATATACAGAACATTAAATAATGATGTATTGGTTGATGAATTACAGCAGTAATGTTAATAGAAAATATAATTTACTCAAGTAAAATGACCAATGCTTTTATTTAATTGAAAAAGTTGACTAAAAATGTTTTTTTTTTTTAAAAAAACAAGTTTAAAAAACAAGTTTAAAAAACAAGTTTTTTTTAAAAAAAAAAAAATAAGTTTAAATGGGTTTTTTCAAAAAACCCATTGGTTTTGGTTTTTTTCAAAAAAATGTTTTTCTGCAACAATGATTTAAAAATATTTTATAAAGATAATTTAAATGATTTTTAACATGGTTTCAAAATAAAGTTAATTACAATGAGATACTTTAAAATACCCAACTGACATAATTTAACATTTAACAATATAAATATGGATATTACCTTTTCCGTTATGCAACAAAATCTCTTATCAAGGCCTGATATTATTTATAAATAATTAAAATTTTTTTGGAAGCTGATAGTTCTGGCCAAACCTGTGTAGTACATTTTATACGTGGACTTCTAAAGTATTCCTTGATATAAATTTTTTTTTAATGTTTTGTGTCATCTCTGGTACTATAACTAGCAAGCAGGTCACTGTGTGATCTTTGATATTATAACAGGCATTTCTTTCTCTAAAACTAAGCCAACTCTGCTTTTGAACTTTCTCAGTTAGAAACAACAAAAAAATGGTAATATTTGTCAACAATAATATCGAAAACCATGATTTTATACCAGGAACATTTTGAAACCACTATTAATTTGTGTAAAATATAAGAAGGAGCTGTTAAAGAATTAAAACCTTTTTAAAAAAGATTTTAACTATTTAATAGTTTTAAAAAAAAAGCATGAAGAACAAAAAAAAAAAAGTTTTTTTTTTTTGTTCTTCATGCTTTTATTTAAATGCAAAAGAACTATTCATTTTTTAAAACTTAATACTTAAAAACCTTTATTGTAATAACCAAGGGCTATTCTAGACCCTAATCAACAGTGTTGAACGTATTTGGACAACACTTGGGAGCTGCCTAAACTCAGAAATTGAGGACCCTTTTTTTTTAATACTGTAAATATTGTTTCTTTTGCAAAAAAATTCCTACATATGGCAATGTTTCCTAATTTCCTTAGGGCAGGCACAGGAAGAGAAGGTACTGCCGCGCAAATTATTTTTCTAGAATCGCCCCTAATAATCATGAAATATTTTTTTTTTAATAAACTAAATAAAACATATTCTTAAGAAGTTTAAAAAAGATAAAAAGTTTCCTGATTTGGATTTATAAGGTTGAGAGAGAAAAGCATAAAAACGATTGGGAAGAAAAAAAAAGAAAAGTGAACTTCTTAACAACAGTGGTTTCCTGTTACAGTTGGGTCATAAAATTATATAAAATAAAAAATAAATAAACAAACCATGAACAATAACCTTTATTTATAAATGTAAGATTTAAAATTAATAAATTTTTTGATCTTCTCAAAATATTTGCCTAAAGTATCGCCTATTTGTCTTTACAGATTGTGAACAAAGGAAATAAAACTTACCAAAACACTTTAAACAATGGTTTATGAGTTTCTCCACAGAAGCTGCTTTTATTTGTTCACCGTCTTCTTCAAAGATTAAACTTTCATCCATTTAATATTTTTTCATATACTTTATAAATTTTTTTTTGATTTTAGACTATTAAAACTAATTAATATACAGTTATGTTAAAAAGATCCAACCAATTATAATTACTATAAATACTTAAATACTAAAATATGTTGTCGACAAAAAAGGCACCACAAATTGCATTGGTGATGGATGGTTATAAACAGCAAGAAAAAATCTTATATGCTCTACAGAGTGGGCCATAAGTAGGTTACTGAAAAAGAATGATTATAGCAACAAATAAAAAGAAAATTAGCCAATCACATTGCATTAGTTTTTTATTATGTATAAATAAGTTTATAAAAATGCCATTCATTATTAATTTCTGTTTTTAGACAATAAGTGGAAACGACTATTTGTTGGAACAAAGAATATGGATTGTAAAGAATCATTATTTGTTACAATTTCCAGGATCAATTCTTGACGTAAAGAATTTAAAATTGCAGTTCCTTCATCTTTATGCATGAGTTGCCAATAATTAGTTGCCAAGTTTGAGAAAACTGGAACAGTAATGGATGCTAAAAAAACAGGACAAATACAACTCCAAATAAGTCGTTTATCATAACGCTGCATTCTCAATATGCTGAAACTAGGGCCTTACATTCCTAGTCTAGTTCATAAACTAAACAAAGATGAATTTGATTGTGTCAAATTTCGCGAAAGAATGCTAGTAATTTGTGAACAAAGTTATAACATTCTTGATTCAACAACTTGGTCAGATAAAGCAGTTTTCAAATTAGATGGCTCGTTAATTGACACAACAATGTTTATTACAGCATTGAAAATCCCCATAACATTGTGGAAAAAGGTGTCAACAGTCCAAGTTTGTGTGTATGGGCAGGTTTAAATGTCAACGGTTTATTTGGTTTGTTCTTTTTTGAAGGGACTGTAACAGCTCAAAGCAATTTTTAATGCTATCAGACTAACTATGGCCTTCACTCAATAATCAACAAAAGCAAGATTTATTTTACAACAGGATGGCATTCCGCCACATTATGCTTTGGTAGTTCGAGATTGGCTGGACTTTAATCTTCAAAACAGATGGATTGGGTGCCATAAAAGCTTCTGTGAGCAGCCTGCAAGATCTCCTGATCTTACGCCTTTAGACTTTTATCTATGGGGTGTAATAAAAAATAAAGTTTATTCTGTTCCTGTGGAAAACTTGTATGAGTTTAAATTGCGCATAACAGAGGCTTTTAGAAAATTTTTACCAGAGTTGTGTAAAACTGTGTGTTATTCATTAACTGATCATTGGGCAATATGTAATAAATTTAACGGTCAACAATTTGAACATTTGCTTTGACTTATTTTGACTTTACTTTATATTAATATAAACTTACTGTTCCTACTAGTTTAATAATAGTTTGTATTAAATTTTATATTGTAAATTGGGTACATGGTAGAAATTTCTTATTAGTAACCTACTTATGGCCCACCCTGTACATACATAAAATCATGTGCAATTTAACATTTAAAAATCTTAAAAAATGATTGATGCATGCCTAAATGAATTATTGCTGCATGTAACTGTTCACAATAACATTCAGCGAATCAAGTCAACAGATCAATCTAAGAAAATTAAGCAGAAAACCAACTTTAAAAACCAACAACATGATATGCCATTCGGCTGTTAAGGATACAGATTTCAAGCTCACTAACTCTTACTCAACTGCATCCTAGTGTAAATATTAGTAACTGCACAGCTTAAAGACACATATATATTCATATACATATATATATATATATATATATATATATATATATATATATATATATATATATATATATATATATATATATATATATATATATATATATATATATATATATATATATATATATATATATATATATATATATATATATATATATATATATATATAGTCAAAACTGAAACAATTGCTGATGGCTTTACTCCAGAAGTACTGTTTACCACAGCATTACAGCGGCAACATTTTAAGAATTAAATTATTTTAAGAATTAAATATGCCGAGTGCTGAGTTTAATTTTGCATCATGTTATGTATGTGTGTGTATATATATATATATATATATATATATATATATATATATATATATATATATATATATATATATATATATATATATATATATATATATAATATATATATATATATATATATATATATATATATATATATATATATATATATATATATAACATATACAAAATATCTTTTTAAGTAAGTAAACTTAAAAAATATTTGTTATATATTGTAAAATATTTCAAAATATTTCTATTGTAACATTTGTTTTATTATAACATTTTAGTTAATAATAATTATATGGAAATAATTTTTTACAATATAATAATTCAATTTATAACATAAAATTCAAATAACATTGGCCTTTAAAGCCATTTTTCATCTGCAAAATCTTACCTCTTGCAAGATACTTTGTGAGACTAATTTAAATCTAACTATTAGTGCTACTGTATTTTGATCTTAGTGTTGATGGCTAATATGATCTGATTCACAAAGAGTTTAATGTGCACATGCATGGACTGGAGATATAATAGTGATGTGCCAATGAAAAAGGCTAGTTGTAACTAATAATAGGTTTTAAAGTATATATGTAGGAAAATAAAATATATACATCTACATTAAATCCTATTCCAACCACAATCAGCTTTTATTGTTGGTACATCTCTAGAATATACTAAAGTATTAATTCATTTATTTGTTGTGAAATCTTGAGTTCTCTGACACATTTATGTGCTTTCATTTAGCACCAATTCATTTAATCATCTTTCTCCTTTTGCATTATACTAAATATCCTAACAATATTACCAGTAAAATTGCACAAGCTCAAATTTTTTACCTTTCTAATCTCTAATCTATATTGTGCTCAATTTCTTTTCATTCTTCCTTATATTATTCAAACCATGGTCTCACAAAACAATTCTTTTATGCTCACATTCACACCCTTTATTTTATTTATTTTATTTAAACTTATTATTTTAAAAATATAAAAATTAAAAATACTAATGATAAAAATTTAAAACTTGTCAGTAATAAAATATTTTATTAGAAATGTTTTGAATTTAATTAGACTTAAACTTAAAGATTCCTCTAACTTTAATATTTAATTTCTTTTCTTTTTTTACAAGCAAAACATGCAAACACCTCAAAACTAAAAATATATTTTTAAGAATATTCTTATTTATTCAATATAAGGTGAGTTATAAATTATATATTAGAATATAAGTAATTAAGCATTATTCATTATTCATCATTTTACAAAAATTAATTTATTCTTTAAAGACATAAATTATTACTAAAAAATATTTTCTAACTTATAACTGAAATTATATATAATATTATGTAAAAAATAAAATTTTATGAAGGAGCTGATAGCTAAACATATCTATGTATAATATATAAAATATAACATATATATATATATATATATATATATATATATATATATATATATATATATATATATATATATATATATATATAAATATATATATATATATATATGTGTGTGTGAATATGTTATATTTTATATGTATATATACATACATATATATGTATATATATATACATATATATATATATATATATATATATATATATATATATATATATATATATATATATATATATATATATATATATATATATATATATATATATGAATATGTTATATTTTATATGTATATATACATACATATATATGTATATATATATATATATATATATATATATATATATATATATATATATATATATATATATATATATATATATGTATATGTATATAATGCTGAATGTGTTATGTGTATATACCTACAATGTAGGTATATACACATAACACATTATATACATATATACATTTATATATTTATACATGTAGGCTACATGCACTTATTTGAAATTAAAATACTGTTGAAAAAGAATTATACATTTTATAGATACCAACAAAATAAAACTCTAAATTTGTTTTCATATTATTACTATTAACTAAAATATTATAAAACAAATGTTAGAATATAAATATTTTGAAATACTTGACAATATAAAAGAAATAACTTTTTAGTTTACTTTCTTAAAAAGGTGTTTTGTATATGTTTTTTAAACATTTATGTAATTTTATATAAAAAGCACATATTTTATTTAAATAATAAAAAATAACTTATTTTAATAAACTTATCTAATATATTTAGATACCTTATAATATTAAGTAATTATTAATTAATTATCTAATAATTATTAATAATATCAAATGGAAATAGTATAATTAAATTAACTAAAAAATAGTGTAAGAAACATTATACTCTATTTCAAGTCAAATAAATCTTTTAAAGTTCGTATTTTTAATAAAATTTACTACTATTGTTGTTTCATTTTATCTTCATAACACATGACGTATATTCACACATAAGGCACTATATCAGTATTATTAAAACTAAAAAAAACCGCACGGAAACAAACTTTAAATATAATTTAATACTAAAAGGCATTGTTTTTTTGCTAATCTTTTTCAGATTAGTATCACAATGGCTATTATAAGTACATTTACTTTCGCTATAAAGCGAAAGTAAATATACTTATTACGTATCACGTACTCAAAAGCGGTGGCGGCTAAGGATCGTAGGCGAAGACGATTGAGGAAAAATACTTTGCTCCCTCTTGAAAATAACAGCAAAGAAATTGCATTATGCAACTAAAAGATTAATTGTTAAGAATTTTTACCAGAATAATGTGGCTAAACTAAAATACTGAAATAAATATCATCAATTAGTTTAAGTTTGAACTTTAACTTGTGAATAACTTTTGCATAAAGTTGAGTTCATATTGAATATTGGACATAAATTCTATATTTATTAATAATAAAAAAAATAGCTTGTTTAGTAAAAATTAATTTTTCTTTAACCAATTTGGTCCCTATGTTGCCACCATTTTCAAATTAAAAACCTTTAAACTTTTTTTCTGCATGTAATTCTAAATTAAATTTTGTAGAAAATGATTGTTAAATATACAGTGAAAAAAAATATTTTAAATTACATTTTTATTTTAACGTTTTTTTCACTGCAGATTTTTTAT